CCTTGGATTGTGCAATCCCAAAATGCCTTATAAATAAAACCAGACACATATAAACATGCAGGCTCCAACCTCTGCCAAGCAGTCCGTGATGAGACTTCCAGTGGCACCTGGAGCTGGCCTCTGCAACCCAAAGACCACGAATGTCTGCTCTCAATTTGCTCCTCATTATAACCTGCACAACTAACTATGACTTCTTACCCACACACAGTTTCTACTGAAAGCACACATGTCCATTCCAAGCCTTCCTTCACAAAGACAAGCTTTTCACTGTTTTCTGTCAGACTGTCACGGGATTTCCATTGTTTCAGGTATTAAAAGGCAGTCTCAGTCAGGAGAGTATCCTGGCACACTGCCTCGGGAAATGGCAGTAAGAAGATCACTAAGGACCAGATTCTGGACCTGGCAAATGCTGTTTTCCTCCTGAAAACATGCTGGAGTGAAGACAGGAGATTTTCCATTTACACTGATTTACCAGGGATTTGAAGGACACTATGCTTCCTTGCCAAGCTCTCCTTTTCTTAGTACAAACAGGGACATGGGTCTAAGTTGGAGCAGGTTTTTTTTCTACAGCATGCCTAACAAACACATGGAAACAAAACAGTCTAAGAAATACTGAAGAATAAATGGGCATTAAAATTAGTACTTGATAGATTATGAAAGCCAAGAACACATTAAAATTTTAAAGAGAACCATGGATCATGAAGACTCTTTCGGAGTTTAGTTTTTTGTAAGTTTTTGCACTTGAAGTAATAAACTTCAACCCATGGATGTGGGAAAGGGTCATTCCTGGGCTTACAAGGGAGTTTTTGTCAAAGATTCATCTGACTGTGCATGCCTGATACCTGACTCATGAATCTGCACATCAGATCATGACAGATCTTCCTTCCCTCCACTTCCTTTCCTTCATCCATCAAACACCAAATCCTTCTCTAGCTTCCTATACACTCATCTCTTTCTGTTCTGCAGGTCCTGCCTCTTTGAAGCAGCCCTTGTATTTCTTCACCTCATCAAACTGAACATCTACTTTCACATATGCACTTTGAAGTGCCTTCCTTTTTTGCCCATGCCTCTCTCACCACGTAAGAGCTGTGGCACAGGCCCCAGTTAGTCACTGCCCAGATGTCCCAGGGATTTCTGTCTGGGCTTTCCAGGCTGCTTCCCACTCTTTCCCTCTTTTCCAAGGGTGCTCATACATCCTCCCTGCCCTTGCAGCCATGGAACTGGAAATATTGATGAAGTCTTTCCTTGGTGGTATCTCCCAAGGGATTGCTGCCAGGGCTACATGATGTGCTAGCAGCCATCCTCAGGGGGAATATGCATGTTTTGGGAAGTGTTCTGATCCACACGAGTCCTAGTGCTGTGCCCAGACACACGAATCTTCCTTGCTCTGGGCTGTGCCAGCACATCCCTTAGGACTTTCTCACATATGACCAGGGCAGAGCAGCAGCTAGCTGGGATTTATTGGTGTGCATCAGCTCAGCGACCCTGCATGTACCACAGAAATCTGCAGTGCCCTATAATGTACTGATAGCCACTATAAAAACTTGTGGCTGGTAGAGAAGGGATAACTTTCACCATCCAGCACTTTCATGCTCCTAATGGTAATGACTATTCCCTCATTCCTTTCTCTCATCAGCAGCTCTCAAGGAAGCATCATTAAGACAGCATATTTCAGTACAAGAAAGACATCAGGCTCAGTTCATTTTAAAGACATATTTCAATAAAGCTAATCTAACATTCAGATCAGAAGTGCCCTCAGGGATTCTTGTGTCTGCCCTGCATGGCTCTAATACTCAGCTGTGGCCTGTGTGTGCACAATATGGGTGTGTAAGACCTGGAGATGCCCAGTGAGTGTGGCTTTTCCTAAAAGACTCTTAACATAGGTCAGCCTTTTATTGTACTCCACAATACAGTGGTGTTCTGACATATGTTAGAATGATGTAAATTAAATTACATAAAGCAATCAGTTCTTCACTTGTAGTCCAATTTACAGTACTTGCTTCCCGGGTGGAAATTGATAGTAAACTTGATATTTGTATCCTCAGTGGATGAAAAAAATGAGTCAGAAGAAAATTACATTGAAAATGTTTACAGAGATATCAAACTGCACTGGAAAAATGTTTTGTATTTTGGTAGTATTCCACTCATTTCTTTAAGTGATTCACTACTTTAAGTAAATACTTCTGATTGCCTTAATTATGCTAAAGAAAAACATTTGGATTCCAGTGATATTTAGGAACCAGAACACAGATAAAGTACTGTCTATTAAACTAGGTAAATAACAACAGCTCCTTTTACAAATCAAGCTGTTGGGCTTTGTGATCTCTCTAGCACCTTTGCAGCAGAATTCTGCAGGCTCTGAAGAGAGTAGCTGTTCACATGTTGTATCTAAAAAATAAGGTGGGAATTAACCCCATGACTAAGTAAAAAGGACACTACATTTCCCCCAGAACTTCTTTAATTATAGTGAAACAATGCTGTGAGAAACACAGTATTTAAAATACTGGAAGTTACAGCAAAATACAAACACAGTGGTTTGAGTCAACAAGTTCGACTTGTGTCTAGATGTAAAAGACAATTTACATAGCTGGAGGAAACATAATTCTTATTCTGAATTTTGTGGTTCTATCTTGGCTTCCACTGTTTTAAGAACCAGACACTACTATGAAGATACAATCAATAAATAGCTGGAGATGTGAATCACCACCTTACATGAAATGAGTAGAGGGTGGGATCCAGCTCAGCAGCCCACTGAAAGACTGACCCCAAATTCCCTGCCAGAGCAGTAATTTCAACCAACCCCCCTGGAAAGCCATAGTCACAATATCATGACTGGTATTTAAGGGTTCCATCAGCCAGTCTGTTTGTGTTATTTGTTTGCACCTCCTCGCCAGTCCACTTTGCCCAAACAACCTTGATTTAATGCTGGACTATTATGCATGAAGAAAACAATTTTGCTTATTTCACACAAAATTAGACCTACTGGGGAATGTCTTTTACAGAACTCTTGCTTACATCCATTAAATCTTTTCTAATCAGTTAAATGTAACTAAACAAAACCTGATAGCAAAAATCTTAAGTTTGCCAATGAGGAATAATTGCATATTTCTAGAAATGTAGCACATATTCAATAATAGACATTCATGCCAATTCATGCCATTCATGCATCACAGAGTGTTTTCCACTTTGATGGTTATAAATTACACATTGTAACTTAATACCTTGGAAAAATGTGCTATCTAAGGAATAACAGAGGAGAAAGGTAACAGCAGTCACCTGCCAGATATAATAGACAGTTGTAACAAGTAGCAGTTATATTTATTTATGCATAGATTTTTATAAATGTAAAACTTCAGGGCTGCAGCTGTTTGATTCTGCCAAATGTATGGAAAGTAAAAATACTTTAATCATCACTCTTGTGGAGCTCACCTATTTCACAGCTCTGTGGTACTGTCTGCCATACACTGGTGAACCTATGAACCTCTAGAAAGTACAAATATGTTTGAGTTAATCCCTGACACCACACAATGATGCAAATCCAGAAGAGATGACCCACATCTTTGGATTCAAAATTGATTCTTTTTCTCTTAAATGCTTCTCCATCCATCAATGTACAAACATAAATGTAGGAAAGTCCTTATGGATTCATTTTACTCTTGAGCTTCTGTTTACATGCTACTAGAGAAATAAGAGAAAAAAAGTAGCCCAGAGAAATATGGCCAAATCATAGACTGGAACACAAAAAAACCTGAAATTACTTTTGTCTTCCTTTTGTTTTCCCTTTCCTTTTTACTGGTCATCAGAGTGATGGAAGTTTTTTGAAGAGGGGATAAAAAGAAAGAAAGGACGAAGTGCCCCCACCATCCTCTGCAATGTCTATCACCTGATACAAGGCTTTTAAGCTGTAAGGCTCCCCTGAGATGATGCTGTCTTGGCAGAAAGTTCCCACAAAGCCACTTTGCAATATGGTGTATTGGTTTTGGTCATCCCATTAAGAAGATGCAATTTCACTGGGTAACAGCTGATGGGAGACAGGCTTTGGATGATGACCAGTGCTAATTGTGGGCAGCAAGTGCACTTTTTAAGTGCACTTAAAAGCACTTTAAGCAGTAAACTGAAGCAAATTAAGTGGAAAAGCTCACTACCACTCGGAAGCTTAAACTGAGGAAAAAGAGAGTGGAAGAGATTCAGACATTAATGCATGGAATATGGAGCTTTATATAATGGAATTTGCAGTGATGTGTGTCAGGATGCCATAAAATTTTACCTACAGAAAAACTGGCCAAATTGTAACTCAGCTGACCATAATGCAACATAATATTGTCTCATAGCAAGCTGACCTATCAGCTAGAAGAGATGAAATGAAAATATTCAAAGCAAAGCAAGTTTTAATAAATCAAATGTCTGCAGATACCTCTTGTGGTATAAAAGGTCATTATCAGGTACATAAATAGTTAATATTTACAGCTGAGAGAAAGACATGGAGAAGAACCTTTCCCTTCAGGTTTCACTAAAATAAAGCATGGATTTTTAGAGAGGTTTCTTCAAGTAAAGCTGCAGATTTCCTCCTTAAAGCATCAGAAGCCTTCCATTGCTTCAGCACAAAAGCTTAGGGACACCCCCCAACAGTTCAGCCTCTGGTGGGAAATAAAGTTTCCACAAAATCAACTTTCTATTCAAGGAAAAAAATCAAATCGTGGATATAAATTGCCCAGGAGAATCTGGGAATAAGACAATTTGCATCCCAGCCAGTTAGCTGGCTCATAACAAAATATTATTAATTCAACAATATTAAAGTATCATATTTAGAACAACAAGACTGAAGCAATATATTTGGATACTTGCAAACCAAAGTCCTTCATAACTTTTCTTCCCACTAAAAAATTTTGATACAGGGAAAGAAATATTTTAACGGGTAAAATCACACAAGAGGAAAAATAAATAATTCTGACTCTAATTTCCATCCAACTAATCATTCCATCAGTTTATGCCACTAATCATTCCATCAGTTTATGCCACAGTAGTTCCATTGAGCTCCACTGGAATGACACAACCTAAAGGAGTTGAAGGTACAGTGTTACAAATCTGACCTCAGTGCACGGGTTTAGACAGATAAAAGACGTGTCTTGAGGTGCTCTGAGTCCTCTCTCACATCAAACTTTCCCTTGGCAGTGTAAGTATGCACAGCAACTTGCAGATCCTGAAATAATAACGTGGTTAGAAAGCCTACAAATCCCCAGGAATACAGCACATTTTTCCAAAACTCGTGGATGAATGAGACAATCTTGCTTTTAAAAACAAGCTATGAATTCAGCTTCACCTGGGACTGAACAGAGATTGAAACTAGCATTAGTGTGTGGGATAGACGTGAAAATTAGAGAGCTTCAGTTATATATATATATATGTATGTATATTTTCTTATTACTTAGAAATTATATAAACTGAGCTTTAAGTGAGTTAAACTCCAGCTTTCCCTTCAGCCTCAACTTCTAATATTCAGCAGTCCTTCAAAAGCAATCCAGAGCAAATTAATACAGATATCCGGTTTCACAGCAAAGACCCCTAAACACCATGCCAGTTACTCACCCCAGGTTTACAGTCATGAGGACACAGGGCTCTGGTGCTGCAACACCCAGCTTGCTCAGGATCATCACCAGTGACCAGCAGGCTTGAGGGATGCTGTTCCAGCATGGTTTTCAGAAGGCTCATCCCAAGCTGTTCTCACCTCACTGCAATGGCATGGGTCTCGAAGGCTGAGAGGTCCAGAATGATCTCAACTGCATCAAAAAGAGGAGGGGTTTTAGTTATTTGTTCTGGTTTGTAATAGCTAGCCTCTGATTCATGCCCAACAGCCCCTGATGAATGCAGAGATACCAAACCATAGTAGTCTCAACCACAACGCACATTATTCACATTCTACTTGCCTCATTTCTAGATATCAGAGTGATTGATTAACACCTGCAGTTACTACTACATTTACCAATGACAAAATCTATTCAGAACAACAGAGAGCAATGGCAAATTCAGAAACCAGGGATTTTTACACCTGAAACAATTCTGAGAACGCCAAATTTGAATTACGTAAACTAGGTTTTTAACTTCTCTTTCAGATGAAAATTTTTGAAAAGCAGCATTTCTAGGAAGTGTTTATGTGCCAAGCATAAAAACTCTGCCCAAGAGAACAGAATAATGTCCTACAAAAAATTTCCAAGCAAAGCTAGGGAACGGCGGGGTGTGGGGGGGGTTATCATGAATTTGTTACATTGGTGCCTTCCAGAAATTAAAAAGCAATATGCAGTCTGTTCCCATGCCAGCTGTGCTTCCAGAGACTGTTTTCTGTCTACCACAGACCACATAATTGCCATTTTAAGCTAAGATTTCACTTAATTTACATAGGCTGGGACAGACCGCAGCTGTCTGCTTTTAGCGCAGACGCGCTGCCTGGGTTTGCAGGTCGCAGCATGCGAGCCTCTGCTGCTATCGACCTGCAAACTCCTTCATTTAAAATGGAAGATCGTGGGAGAAGCAATGGTCAAGGCTGGTTTGGACATGACTGATCACCTAGGAGTTGTTCCACACTGAATTCTCAAGGTAGGGCTCACGTTTGGGTTTGCAGATGGATGAGAGCCCTGGAACCCTATTTTTGTTGGGCTCTGCAAATGAAGACTGGACACTTCTTTTGCTTGATACCTTCAGTGATACTAAATGGAAGGAAAACAATTTTCAGGTTCTTGGGAGGAGGTGAGACTCTTGCAGTCAAAATAAAATAAAAAAAAAATCCTGAGATAAATAATACAATCAACTCAAGATCAGTTGCACATCCAGAACACTTTCCTAGAAGACATAAGATCACAGGTTTGTTTCTGATATATCAACCTACACAAAACTGGTTTCTGTTTTATTCATGTTTCATGTGCAAACCTTAAAAAAAAATAAATTAATATGCCTGTGCCTCAGTTTCACATGTGCCAAATTGCTTTCTATGAGGAAGCCTGAAAACTTCAGAGTTTTCAGAAGGCACTCAGACCTTGTGGTGGATGCTCATGTGTCTACAGCTACACCAAAGTAAACAGTGCAGTCCTTAAATGAAGAGCTTATGGCTGTTGCTTCAAAGGTCTTAGGCAAGGCAACATTCAACTGGTTTGCACTTCACTTTTATGTTCCTGAGTAAATATGCAGTTTTAAATGAGTCATTGTACACCCCCAATCATAGTGTTTGTCAAGGTCCAACTCAGGCCAAATTTGGAAGAAATTAACTTCTGTAGCTGGTATCAAAATATGACTATAAATCAATTATCTTAACTTCATAAATAGTGAACAGCCAGGGTTTATTGATCTCTCCTGCAGGGCAGTGGACTGTTTTCCAGGGTCTTTGCTTTGAGTAGTAGCTCTCAAGGTTGCTCCTTGGAGTTGAGAGACTCCTTGACTCAGGAGATTCTCCGTAAGTGATTAATAGCATGCTAAACTCTGAAGTCTTAGCTAAGTGACACAAAAGATTGATTGTGCACACATAATCCTTGAGACATAAACCTTTGACTAAGTCTGGGACTAAGTTTGGAATTAGGCACACAAAAGCTCCCTTCCGAGAAGGATCTTAGAAGACAAGGAGGTCTTTTCTGAACCTCATGACTCAACAGGAAAGTCTCTCTCTCTGCCTGTTTTGTCTGACCCTGGCCTCTAGGCCATAAATAGCCAAGTGTGCCTTGTCATCAGATCTTATTAAACCCTTCTCACATTTACCATGAAGCTTGGCAAAATCACTGGGTTATATCAATAAACATATTGCTACTTCTTCCTTAGGAGTCACATCCATGACATACCCACGACTGCTACACTGCAGCTGTCAGAGCCCAGAGCCAGACCTCTAAGAAAACAACAGGACACCTGGGTTCCTCACAAAGGTTGTATGTAGCCCTAGCCAGGGATCCTGTGCCCTGTGCTGCACAGCAGCTGCACTCAGCAGAAGTGGAGCCCACCCTCTTCATCAGATATGCACTCTCATGTTCATGGGGATGGCTGCCAAACCCTCTGGAGCATAGATGCCAAATTCACTTGGTGAACACAGTAACCCATTTGGTTATTGTATGAAAAGACAGGGAAAGTTCCTCTTCTGGCTTCTGGATGAGACTGCCAGGGCTGAAGCTTGCTAAACTCAGCGTTATCACCTTTTTTTTACTGGTTTTGTTGTCTGACAGTCTTCTGGCCTCACCTATGGGACTGGGAAACTTTAGTACTGTGATGACAATTTTACGAGTTCCACACGGGCATTAGTGGGAGCTACTGCCTTGCCTGCCCAGTCTTGCTGGGCTCATCTCTGAGTAAAACTGGCTCCATAGAACTTTACTGCAAAAGGCTTTCTGCAACTGTGCCCCACGGATCTGAATGGGCTTCAGTGTGTGCTCTGAGACTCACTTTGGTACGCTCTGGGTCCATGAAGAGATTAGCAGACCTCACTGAGCTGTAGTAACACTCCATGCATTTGAAGTTCCCTGGGATCTGCAGCAGGAGTAACAGTTCTGCACACAGAGCTGAGCCATGGGAGCAGCCTGCAGCTCCCAAGGGCCTGCCAGGACCCATGGGTGCCCAGTGACACTGGCACCTCTCTGAGCTCTCACTGTACACTGCCTGAGCCTGCCTGCTTAAAGCCATTGCCCTCAGCATGAGATAAGTCTGCAATATATTTCAGTGCAGGTGAGCAGCCAAAATTTTGACAACTGTAAGTCTCAGAAAGTCTGGGAGGTGTCTTTTTTTAGGTGGCAAGTGGAAGAATTGGCGATTTCTTCACGTGTGTCCCGGCAGCAGAGGTACAAGACAGAAGCAGTGTCAGGCTGTTTTGTTTCCCCTTTGCTCTATGCACAATTTGCTCTACTGAACTGCTTCATTTGGGACGCCTGCTTGGGACAGGCTGCTGGAGTTAGCTGTCACATCCATCTCCTGACAAATGAATATGACATCAGGGTGACTTCAGTTTTTTATAAATATCTATTGCCAGTTTGATTCATACGTCAGCACAGCCCTGGAGTTAAAACTGAATGGGACTGAATATTATTCCTGCCTTTTAAGGCTGGTGGAATTTCCCCTCTTTATGGAAGAAACTTCTCACTTACATATTTCACTAGTATCTACCATCACAAGCCTTAGATTTTGTCTCTCTCAAGCCTGCATCCTGTAAATCCCTGTAATTGCATGCAGCTGTTTGTGAGCCATCCTCTGCAAATTGAAAGCATGCATTGAAAAAGCCCCAAGCAGAGAACCTCTAAAATAAGTGCTGAAAAAGCTGCTGATTTTCCAAAAAGACCCTCTCTGCTCTGCCCTCCCCTGCCCTCCTCTGCTGTCGCTACCTTGCAGTTTATGACATCCAGAGAGTGGGAGGTCTGACAATCCGAACAAGGCAGCAAGGAAGAAATTCCATTCCTGTTGCAATCAGTAATTCCTCCGTGGAGGCTGCTTTCTCGGGAGCGTGTGCGCGCGCTTTCTTTTGTGTCACTTCAAGACGGGCTCTGATATTATTATTACTTTAAATATAGCTTGCCCTGGGGCGGGGAAATGCACAAGGAAAGAGCCGGCAAGCAGCCTATCTCTCAGAAGAAAAGAGCAAGCCTCGCAGCGCAGGAACTGGCTTCACTCAAGTGTGCAGTTTAGAAGTCAGAAAACTATTTGAATTACCACCATTGTGGAGGAGGCTGAAGAAAAAAGACACGGAACTGGCTAAACACAGAGAAGAACATGGTAAACCAGGGTGCAAAGTGCATCTATTTGCAGTTTGAAAGTGGGCTCTGAAGTGCAATGTAAGTCTTCCTTAAATTGTATTCTTTTATAACAGTACCTAGTCGTTTAATTTCCATTCCGAAGCCATGCTGGGCCAAAAGGTACAATTAGCTACAAAAATCAGCATGGAGCAGAATTTGTAGTCTCTGATACGAGGCTGAAAATGATTCTGAAATACAACAGAAGACAGAGACTATCAGCCATATTATGGAAGATGCACTAAAAATAAGAGCATATTTAATTATTTCAAGAGAAACATGCTGGATGGAATTATTAATCAACTTTCTTAATAGAGAAGCAAGAGCTTTGCTGTTTAATAAGGCAAGCTATTTTAATGCTGCTGTGTTTAAAATTGTGTGATTACAGTTACCAATAGCAATAAGATGTAGCTCCAGAGGGGAGTCCTAGTGGTTGCAAAAGTTTTATGTCTTTTATTTCTCCAACCTTTTTGCTCTCTGAAGCCTCAAGTCCACATTCGGTATCCTACAGCCTGGTTTTACTTTTAAGCTGGATTTTCAATATATGCCAACACTGGGCTTCCTATGGAACTGAAAACAAAACATTTCAGCTTTCGGAGTAATTCTGGTATGTTTTTCTACATCGCACTAGTGGCAAAAATACAGTCGACAAAAGATTGTGCTCCTTCAACTTCTGGCATGGAGAGCTGAGGAATATAATGCCCAATGGTGACAAAGGGTGATAATTTCCTGTTTTTCACAATTTATCTTTGTGGTTTTGGACTTAGCAATGGATATTCTTTGTGATGGAGAGAGCTCTGTGAACCCAACTGCAAACTCCTTCATACAAATAAACCATGAGAGAAGATTCTACAGAAATGTTTATGGAGCTGGAGAAATTAATATATCACATCTCTGCAACCTGACTGTGAACTCTGACAACCTAACCAATCTTTCATGCGAAAGCAACATGAGCCCACCGTGCTGCCCTTCGCAGAAAAACTGGCCGGCTTTGCTGACAGTGATAGTGATTGTTTTAACCATTGCTGGAAATATTCTTGTCATCATGGCTGTTTCACTGGAGAAAAAACTACAGAATGCCACTAACTATTTTCTAATGTCACTTGCAATAGCTGATATGCTGCTGGGTTTCTTTGTCATGCCTGTGTCCATGTTAACCATACTGTATGGTGAGTATTAGCTGTGTTACCTACTGCATGTATTGACAATCCTTAAACATTGCATGCAATAACATCTTCTTGTTATTATGATTTCATTCTCTTACCACAGAAAATTGCTATCACTCCGTATAAGTTGAAATATGTCACTGGTTAATGGATGGAACAGGTGAAGTACTTGAATCTTTTATATTTCCAGCTACAGGCATTTTAAACACAGTCCATAATATTAGTTTATTTCTCAGTTGTCAGGTGAATTTTCTCAAAGAGTATATGAAGATGCTTTGTTTTTTCTATTGCTTTCAGGCTTTTTCCCTGGCTCATAATTTTCATATTCCCAATGAGAATGTTGGGTCCTGCCAATTACTTTGCTCTGCAAATATGCACTGAAACACTAATGACTACTCTTAGATTCAAAACAGGCAGCCACCTCAATTATTTTTAATGAAGTAATACAAACGTGAAAAATTTTCTTATCACCAATACCCTGCTTAGACATCTGCTTACTAGCAAATGCTGGAATAAATATTGCAGGGGTTAAAAAATGGATGGGCATTAATTCTGTCCGTTTAGTAACATTTACAAATGCAAAACTATCGTTTCTTAAGAGAAGTTATTTAAGTTAATAATGACTCGCAGCTCATGCCCTTGCAGGTGATTAATAGCAGATCCTTCTCATTGCCACCACAATCATTTACAGCACAGCTCACGCTGGAACAAGCAGCACCCTGTGTGTTCAGCACCAATTTTGTCAGGCTGTTACTGCCCTGAACTTCAGAAATTAGTCTTCCAGAGCTACAACTGAATTGCTGCAGTTCAAAGAGAAGCTACTCATTGTCAGGAGGAAAGTGAGATTGTTTGGGAGGGTGTCTATTACTTCACTACTTCGGGACTTAAGGTCCAAACACGAGCCTGTGACTTAAGGGAGATTTAATCCAGAAAGCTGGAAGTTTATTTTCCATTTCCAGTATCTCTACAGAGATCGCCCCCAGCAGCATTTGCAATCTGCCTTTGGCATCAGTGGTGGTGCAACACTGTGATTTACCGTGTTAGTGTGTGATTACCTTTGGCTGGAGAAAGAAACAGCGCGAAACAGAAATTGTCCGATGGGTGAGATTTAAGCCGTGCGTGATTCCCTGAGACAAGCAACAGGGACTCCTGCTGGCCAGGCTCCGCTGCCGAGGGAAGAGACGCCGGCAATCGGTGTCTCGGGCGGGATTTGGGGCTGGATGCCTTTCCCTCCCGGCGGGAGCCGGAGCCCTCGTCCCGGGAAAGGCTGCGCCGCCCTCCTCGGCCAAGGCCGGGGCACAGGAGCGCCTGAAGGCGCAGGGCAGGAGCCGTGCTCTCCCTCCTCTCTTTGCCTCCTCTCTCCCTGCTTCTTCCCTTCCAAGACCAGCAGTGCAAGCAGCATAACTTGGGGTAGAAAATCATCTGGTGGCACGCACTGGTACCAGGAGAACCATCTTGGTGTGATACACCATCAGCCTCCAGGATGATCAGTGATGGAACGGAGGGAAACCTCCACTTCCACAGGAGCATCTTCTCAGCCGCAACTGCTCAACTTCAGACTATCACCCTGTTGATAGTCTTGAGCTCAAACTGGAGGCTTTGCACACACCTGCTCTGCCAGGACACCTCCAAGGCTGTGGAACGGGAATGCTCCACCACCCCTTCTGCAGCCCCTTGAAGGGGTATGGCGATTGCTTTGCTCAAAGGAGAGATAATCCTCTTGAGAGCTTAATAGCTACTGTGGGCAGTTCTGGTTTGGGTGCCCAGCCATGCCAGCCATGTGCCAGTCTGCACCCTTTGGGCTGGGCAGGGCTCTCCACCCACCCAGCAGCCCCAGATTCTGCTGGAAAAGGCAGCACCCAGTAAGTCCTGCCAAGGTGGATGTCTTGGTCTACCACAAGAGCAGAAAACTTCCTGGAGGATGTTATGTACACCCTTGCTAAGGGTGCACCCTATTGCATCCAGAGTTTTCTCCTCTCATACACTTTACCCTTTCTCTAATCTGTAGTCTCTAAGGGAGTTTATCTGCCAGATAGTGTTTTATTCCTGCCCCATCCTGGTTTATTGCAAAGATGAGAAGTCTAGAAGGATATGACAAATGTGTTCCCAAAGGCCACTAAAGCAAGAGAACAGATGTATGTTGTCAAATGTAAAAACACTTTAACAGTTTTCCCTGTGTAAACTGTCCTGGCCTGACAGAGATGCTACTGGTAAGTCATGCCCCTGAAAGCCAGCCATCACATAACACACTCCAGGGACCAGACTGCCCAGCAGAACACCAGAAAACATGATAAAATACATCTATAAATGCTGTGTGGCTTGTCAGGGTCAGCTTATATTGCAGCAACCCAAGAACACCAAGAAATTGGTCTCCTCAGTACTCACTGAGACTAAACGTAATTAGGCACAGACCTACCTTCTCTACTCCCATTCCTGCTGCTGCAAATCTTGTACTGTATCTCCAAAGGAGACAGGCACTCCCCAAAATACTAACATATTCTCATAATATGAGCTTTGGCATTGTCCCATGCCACACTACCATGGGCAGCTTGGGTAATATGCTCTAAATTAAATCACTACAAGATAAGAATCCTGATAACTGTAAAACTTGCTCCAAGGAGAGCTATTAGTGGTTCCCTGCAGGAATAGAAGGGCTTTTGAATGCGGGTCCTGCAGGGCTTAGCCTGGTCTGCTCAGTACTGTTCTGAACAACATGTCTAGTGTGTGGAGTGAGAGCTTACACAGCTTTCCAAAAGCACCAAGCTGGGAGAGGTTACAAGCACTCAGAGGGACAGGATGAGAATCATCAACCAGAATCTGGACCCCTGAAGAGAAAGCCTGAAACTGAAAAATAACATTCAGTGAGGATAAGTGCAAAGGTAAAGAAGAAATCTACTTCTGCTGGTGAAATTTGTCCAGGCTTCAAGAATGCTGAACTAGATCTGGCTGTCAAAACGAATCATGAGCTTAACATGCTTCACTAGCATGATGTTTTCATACAAAAGGCACTTACCATTCCAGGCTATATAGGTAAAGACATTGTCTTCTAGGTCCAGGAAGAAATCTTGCATTTCACTTAGCAGTCAGGAGGCCTTTGCAAGTGTTCCAAGTCCTATGTTAGTCGCTGAATGATATACAAGAAGCAGATAAATTAAACAGATTCCAGGGCAGAAAAGGAAGAAGGAAAAAGGTTTTCAAAGCATGAGATGTAAGAAAAAGTGCTATGATTTTCTTAGATTGGAAGACAAAACAATAAACACAAAACTAGGCAAGCCATGATAGCCATCTCCCAACATCTTTGAGAAAGGAAAGCAACCAATTAATCTTCATAGGTAGTGGAGAGGACAAGGAAAAAGTAGGGGCTTAATTTGCAACAAAGAAGCTGTAGGTTGGATATCGGTAAACACTAATGAATATGCTTTGGATTGCATTCCCTGGAGGAGTCTATCAACATTCATTGGCAGTAGGAATATACTTATTTAGGTATGTGGTAAAGGCTT